CCCCCCCCCCTCCCCCATACTAAACATTTTTACTTTTTCGTGCAAACATGCTTAATGCTCATAGCTATGTACATTTGGTTCTTAAAATGAAAGAACACAAGAATCGACGGCAAATTTTTTTTTTGCTCGCACATGAAATTGTAGCAGCGGCGAATTATTATTAGCGATGATAAGCATATTTTTAGGCTCTTGGTTATTTGACAAAATTGTATAATTTTTTTTTTTTTTTTTTATCTTTTGATTAATGTGTCTTGGCTTTTGTGATTCTTAATTTTCGACCAATTTTCGAGCTTATTTGCTAGGATGTGTCAAAGACCACATTCGTTTCTCATTCGCATTTTAGAGAAAAACTTAACGACCGTACGAGAAATAAATATATAAAGCCCTAAGATTATTTATTTTTCTACCTCTCGGATATTTAATGAGATTTTTTCATTATTATTTGACCTTTCTGAAATCTAATTGATCGTCTATTTTTCATAATGTTTAAGATTATTAACGTTCACGGTAACATTTTTGTTTCATTTTATTGGATTTAGGGCGTTCATATAAAACATGTTGCTTACAGTTAAATCACATAGCAAATTTAATATGAATTTATTATAATTCTTTAATTACTCCTATTCTTAAGGATAAAAATGTAAATTAAGGAACAAGTCATTATATTATGGATAATATAAAATTATAGCGACCATATTTTACCTGGAAATATGAAAGAGCTATGATCTATTAACAAAATTTCGGATTGTTGATTGAACATTGAAATTGTAATTTTCAATTCTATAATATATAGGCGCAATTAAATTGTGTAAAACTCTGAAATATTTAAAAATTGCATTCTCATTGAAGTCAGGTTTGAATGAGCGAAGAGAGTTTATATTAAACTTAATTTAACATGTATAATTTAATACGTGTAATTTGACTAATCACTTATATCCATGTTCTTAACTCCCACAGATAGAACAAATTAAGTTATAATTCTAAAATCATCCTAATACAGCAAACTCGCTCCATAATAACATTTAATTATTTTAATGTAATGTTGCTAAACAATCGATGCCGTAATTTACAGAATAATTATTACTCGTGTCTGCATACTGCATCCATTTCATGAAATACACGTAATTTTTGCAATAAAGTAATCATCGGTAACGTGAACTCATACATATATATATATATATATATATATATATATATGTAATTTAGATTTAAAACTCTTCATATTACAAGTTATCAATAATTCATTACCAAGTAATTTTATAATAAATAAAATTAGTAGAATCCTTTCTAAAATCTATAGAAGCAATCTATTAAGCTAATATGTATTAAAGCTTGCCAACGAAAAATTGAAGAATGTGAATTGAAATTTAGGTTTTTTTCTTTTTTCTTTTTTGATTTAGAAAATCATTAAGAAAAACCATTAACGATACGTAGAGATAAAGGTAGTCTAAGTTCATGGGGATCTGCATAAACAATAGAGATCACTCAAGTACT